ATTCCTTTTCACGTGAAACAGGCTGCTGATATTGCTAAAGATCCCTTACAGCTTTTTGCGACATGATTAGGATAGAAAATATACCATCACTTTCCGAATACATCTTACGACAGAAGAGAACATGACTAGATGGGGTGAGACTTACTGAATTCCCTATAGATATCTTAGAAAAACACACGCTGGAATATTAAATACATCGTACTAGTCATCTGTGTCATAATGTGCTCCTCGACTATTTCGCCCTTCACTGCAGTGACCATTGTAATCACTGCGTTGCATAATGCTTCCTTCAAACCAGTGGCGTAGCCAGAAGGTGGCGCACCGAGCCCATGTCCTTCTCTCCCGAATTTTTTCGGTATGGCATACATAGCGAAAATTGACAATTTCAACAAGGTACACCCCCCCCCCCCCCCATGAAGAAAAAAAATTGCTACACCACTGCTTACAACACGTGCTCTTCCATTATTTTTTCTTTTTCATGGTGTCATAGCTGTTGTTCTACATGGTTGTTAACAAGAACATGATGATTTAAGTAATAATCAACCTCCCCAATAGATCGACTAACCTAGTCGTTGCGCATGTGTTTGCTTTTTAGCGCGCACCGAAGCTCAGCAGTGAAGCAAGCATTGCACGAGTACATTTTTTTTTTTTTTGTAAGAATACTTGCCTGAATTCTATTTAAGCCCTGCCACGTTGGTGTGGAGATTAAGGCACTCGACTGCTAACCCGAAGGACGTGGGATCGAATCCAGGCGGCGGCGGCTACATTTTCGATGGAGGTGAAAATGTTCGAGGCCCGTGTACCTATAATAGATTTAGGTGCACGTTAAAAAAGCTCGGGTGGTTGGAATTTCCGGAGCCCTCCACTACGGTTCTCTCATAATCACATCGTGGTTTTGGAAACTTAAAACCCAAATATCATTTCTTAATGAATGAACATGAAGATTTATAATTCCGACAATAAGAAAAATAATCTTGAACCCACAAGCTCCTTGATATAGCTCTTTTTGGGGTGTATTCGAAAGAGGAAAGCGCTGCACAGAACATTTGTTTTCTTGCGGTTTGTGTTGCTCCATGTTGGATGAAAATCGGGTGTCTTAATAGCATTTGGTGAACACAACACTAATGCGCAAAAGAATTGAGTTAACTTTGAAAAGGAGGTTTAAGTGTGCACACGTGGGTCTCTTTGACCGAGACTTCAAGAAGAGCCTCCGGTGTTTTTGCTTGTAGCAGGCCTTCCTACAATGATGCTTTCGTGTCACTAATTGCATTGCACCGATTAGAGGTCACACTGCAGCTGGTTGGAATTGCATAACGGTACCTTAACAACGGCGCTGCAAAGCGAGGCACGAAACAACACTAGCAAAACGGAATTTAAGCATCAGTTTTTGTTGCCGTCTCTTAGCAGCTTCGAATAGGCTGAAAGAATAAAAAAATATATAAGTATAGCTTAAAGCGAGAACAAAGATAAAGAAGAAGACGGGAATAGTTTATTTGAGCGACAAAGGGTGAGTCGCGTTTCCCTTCCCTCGCAAGTTCTGCCTTTAGAAATATATACGTCCCTGTATGTCTAAACGCCTTGAAAAACTGTGATCACTGCGCCAGTTCAGCTTAAAAACATGGCTGGAACGTACGCGTAGCCTTTCTTTTTCTCTCCCTCTAAGTCTTTATTTTTTTTTGCTGTTTCTGAAGCATTTTTTAGACACACAATGTGCCTTCTTCTATTGTGCCCCCCTTTACTTTCTTTTATTCATTCTTTTACAAACTTCCCGTCAGATGATTTTGGTCCGTTTATACGATGTGGCAACCTAAAGCCCGCATACGGAGTTACTTTGATGGCAAGAATATTCACTTTGTGACCAGCATGAAGCACAAAAACCATAATTCAGAGCTCTATAAATAGGTGTCTAAAAGAGTGACACAGCATTTTTTTCTCTGCAAAAACTGCTGTTTCTTTTGAACGTTGTGCGGTTTCGGCTTTCCCGAAAGCGCAAAACTCAAAGTAGGCTGCGATCACATGGCAATCTAAGCTATAATCACAAAGCTGACAACGTTATAGGAAGGAAATGGTGCGAAAAGGATCCACGATGCTGAAACGTTCGAAAAGCAAATATTTTTCGCGTAACGGCACATTTCGCGAGATAAATAAGAGGTCCATGGACATAAATAACTAAGTGCTTCTTAGCAACGTCATGAAGGAAGTGCAATAGGTTCAAATACTTCGAAAAACTTTCGAGCGACCCCATGTTTGGCTACACGGTTAGGATACACTGGTCTTGCTCGGCTACTTAGGGGGGGGGGGGGAGGAACATTCTTGGCTTAAGTGTGGAATTATTTCACGTGGTGCAAAGACAAACGTACGCAACCATGCGTGAGGACCACAGCTGCCACGACAAGTAAAAACGTTGAAAAATCAGTCAGAAGAAAGCAGTTCAGCGAAAGTTCGCAATAATACTGAAGTAAAATTGCACCTCTTTTTCGGGCATCAAAGCAACTGTGCCACCGTAGAAATTACCGTTCCTGCTCAATCTTCCTTTTAGAAAATCTTCCTTTTGTCGCTTCCAGCACTTTTATACTTCTTACGTTCTGAAGCCGGGTCAATTGCGATACCTTAAAAGCGAACATCTGAGCAATCAGTATTTCGTGTTGGTTTGCTAATCTATTATAGAACCACAAATCAGTTGTCACATGCATGGGCCTAATATGTTCCTCCCTATTTTTTTCGTATGTTTTGGTCGCTCATCACATATGTTACACCAATATGATTTGTTTTGTCATGGACAATGAATTCAAGTGAGGTGGAAAAAAAAAAGGTTAGAAAAGGCTTTTCCTGCCTTCATTCCGCGCTGTGTTCATGCGTTTTTTTTTTTTTTTAAGAACTTGTGACCTTCCGCTTCAACTTGTTTTCACACATTTCTGCAATTGTTAGACTGCACAGACAACCAGTCGAGACGCTTGAAAATTGTACACCTTTCTATGATCGCTCTATAGATGCCACGAAGGTAGAAAGAAAAAAAAAAAGGAGAGGGGGCATAAATGTATGAGCTTGAAACGCCGCTTCATTATATTATTTCTTATATAACGAAAACGTCAATTAGGCGGCATTCACGTTTTACTTTTGTTTTATTCTAAAGAACGTAGAGGCGTCTTCTATAAGCCATAAGTTCGCATTAACTTTGGTGCACAACTTCTACGAGGATTATGAAGAATGGAACCTGCAACACAAACTTTTTCGTCTCTAGTTTGTTGAAAGTGAGTGTTTCGATTTGAAAAAAAAAGAAATGCAACCTGGTGGCCAGGGGCGCAGGCTCAGTGTGTGACCCCCTGGCTACGCCACCACTGGTGACAGTATGTACTGTTTCGCTGTTGTACTGCGTCACCTCAAACTCAACAGCCGCACACGGCTCTGAACCTGCACAACCTGCACACGGCTCTGAACCTCCGAATTCGGTGGCGTCTTGGGAGACTTGCTATAGATTCACGCAGTAGACAAATGAGTATCCAATATTCACAGGTACATAAGCTGGTTCACTCTCTGAACAACGAGTACAGCCTTGTGAAAGAAAGAACCAAAGCACCGACCGAAATCATGCAATGGTGTCATTTGTGAAAGTGTTATTAGAATGAGTATACATATACTTATAACAAAAAATACATTACATTTGCATGAAAGTTATTCTTATCAATTCTCTAAGATATAAAAATAACTGGCATATGATGGGTTTCAATTATTACAAAAGCACTTCTTTTTAATCATCTCTTTCTTTGTTTGGGTCAGGTGCTTACGAATTAATTTCTAATAAGTCAAGTTGATCAAAAAAAAAGAAAAAAAAGTGATCTCTTAAATATGGCACAGTGATTCACACTGATCTTGAAGAAAAACAATGAAGACCCAAGTGCTAAACACAATATAGGTAAAGTTTATTCTCAATTTCTCGCTTCTTTATGTTCCCTTTTGCCTCCCATCCAACGAAACAAAAGTAATAATTATCCCACCAAGGAGTTAAATACGTTTCCCAGGGCATATATTTCAAGAGCGGGGTTGGTAGATTTTAGCATTTTGTCGCTCTTATGCTGTTTGTGTTCTCATGCAGTCGCAATCGACATGTCATCAGTGCAAACATATGGCTTGGAAAATGGCACATAGATAGCTACACTTTTTTCACAAAGGCCTAGGGAAAATCGCGAAGATGAACTGGTGTCTCGGTTCAAAAGAACTTGAAAGCGGAACGGATAATAGAAACTCTGGGTATTCTTACGAAAAATCAAGATTTCATCACACCTGAATAATGGCTTCTGTTATTCAAGGAATTTTAAACACTTTATTGAACATGTAGGCCCTACACAAAGTATATACCCTGCAATTCAATCTTACAGCTTATCCCTTCAAGCATTACAATAGCGTCTAGTCATGTAGGAAAGGTCGCAAGTGTACGTGGTATTAGGATTGCGGTAGAAACAGCATTTGCACGGAGCCTGACAAGGAGCGCTAGTCGGGAGAAAGCACTTAGAACCCCAGATCGGGCGAGCAGTGGCAGGGAATAATTCGAGTAACCCGAGCTGTCCTCCGATATACGCATTTCTGTTCCATGCGCATCGATCCCACGCACAGCAGGCCGCTGTGCATGGGAGGAAGCGAAGGAGGAGGGAACATCATGCGTTCATTCGAGTTAAAGAGACAAAGTTAGAGCGCCATGGCGGCCCACGCACGTTCTGTGGTTGTCCACCGGCGAAACGGGGCAGCCGCCCTTGGGAGCCGCATCGTGACGGCCTGATCGGCGGCCTGTCATCGGCCGCATAATCCCCGCCGGGCGCGCCGGCCGAGCCGGTCCAGCCCGCGCGCCGCGAAGCCCCGCCCTGCGCGCGCGCCATTGGACGGCGCGCAGGCGCAGGGCGCGGCCCTCTTCGGCGGGCGCCGACAGGGCTGCTTGCGCGGCATGAGTGACCGCGTGTGATGGACTGGGGCAGGCAACGCGACTGAGCCAGAGAGCGTCGCACAGCATGGCGGACGGTGCGGGCCAGCAGCCCGACGAGCCGGCGGCGTCGCCCGCTCACGAGGCCGGCTCGCCGCCGGCGCGCGACGACGAAGAGCTGCTCGACGTGGTGAGCACGGCATCGCTGGACGGCGCTGACTTCTCCGAGGACGAAGAGTACTTTCGCCCCATCAAGCGGCTCTGCATGCTCGAGGCACCGGCGAACCCGTCGCCCAAGCCGCTCACCTCCTTCTTCATCAAGGACATCCTGAGCCACAAGCCGCGCGCCGTGCGTCCGGCATTGTGCGGCCCTGGGACCTCGAGTCGGCGAGCCCCGGCCGCCGACGGCCGCGCTCGACCGACGAGGACTCGCGCTCCGAGAGCGACTCCGCCGACAGCCCGGCGGCGCCGCAGCAGCACAGCTCCACGTCGCCGCTGGATGCACTCTTCGAGATGACGAGCAAGGCCTTCGAGGGGCTCGAGTCCGGAGACCGCACAGCAGGCGAGTCCCTTTTACACGTATACTGTGGAAGCTGCCGCTGTTAGTGTCACGTGCCGCCGGCCCAAGCGGCACGTGGCACGAGACCCGTTCGTTGCATGTGCTCTTCGCTATCTCTTTGAGGCTCCTTGTCCTCGTGGTTCACGACCCTGACTGCTGATGGACAGTTGACAGGTGTCATTCGTGGTCGGTGACACGAAAACAGAAACCGCTGACAGTGTAGTTTTTACTGTAAGCTATTGATGCCTTCAACTGCCATAAGAAGACACTGTTACTTACTGTTGTATCGCGAGAATCATTCATGACACATTGAATGAAACTGAATGTGTGACTGTTTTGATGCATGCCGTTGTTCGTGCATCCTCAAAACAGTCACGGCTTCAGACCGTTGTGAACTCGTCCGCCATTTTCCGCAGAACGACGTGTTTGGGCACAATATTTGCAAACAGTGTACGTACATATACGTACAGGAAAGAGATATGCTTACACTACAAAAAAGAAATTCTGCGATACTCGTATTGTTACGACACTGAGTTCACAAGGGGACTAAGTGTTGCTCTGAGTATTCATTCATCGGATTCAAAGTCTGAATACACTCGCAGCAATCAAGGACAGACCCCGAAGAGTCCCGAACTAAATTTTTAATATATATGAGACCTGAAACACAATCCTTTTATACATTCAATATCTTTTCCAAATATTGTTGAACCGGTGGCCTCGGCCACAGGCATGCGTATACGGCATTAACGAAATGCTGAGCTTGTTGCAAGAACATTCGTTGCCTCTGAGCTATAACTGACAGCAATTTCAGTATTGCAGCTTAGACATGCTCTACTGGATGTTTTTCACTGAATATATAGCACATGGATGGGATGTAGGTATACCTTGCGCTTACTTCTGTCACGTTGCGTACGCTAATCAGCCATGAATGCCAAAGTGCTCGTACAATTGCTGAATAGCAAAATGACCATCAAAGTCCATCACGTTATATCAAAGCAGGTCCAGCGTATTTCCTGTGGAACTTGTTGCTGCAAAACTAATTATTTTCGTGTTGCTAACTGCACAACTATGCGTCTGTACTTACATTGGTAAAATACAATCTGAAGTGATAGTGTATCGTAATTTTAATGTTGTTAACAGACACCTTCATTATATTCTGAACACCGTAAGTTGCAGGGAGTAAAGTTTTCCAAGAAATGTCAGTTCTGACATCCCAAGTGTGCAATGCGCACTTGGGATGTGAGAACTGACAAGTGCGCATCCCACGGAGCACACGAAGTGACGTTTTCCTAAATATTGAAAAAACGTGTCTTCCAGATATGAATTGGTGTACATATCTGTTTTCTCATTGATCAACCATATGAAAACCATGCTATCACAGACATGAGAATACCATGGTATTCCTGCTTGGAATTATTACCATATGTAAATACAAGCTATATTTCTACACTACTTACTATTTTGACATTTACAAGCCTGTGCAGCCATCAAAATTTTGTCATGTGCTCCTGTGCAACGGTTCCATAACGTAATAGACAAGTTATAGGCTATAGGAAACGTGAATAAATTCATAAGTATGCAACCATTTGCTCGAACACGCATTTGGACTGGCTACATAAGCGTATACTCTATTGTTGACAAGTTCGGCGCATGCATACACTTTTGAATACACTCAAGTTGAGAAAATAGCGTATCATTTTGCACTGCCGTGTTATCATATATGTCGGTGAACTCACTCATGAGTTGACTCAGTCAGACTCAGATCGAGCTGTGAGTTTGAGTGAGTCCGGATGAGTAATATCTTCGCTAGTCTGATTCCAAGCAAGTCCAGTTGAGGAACATTTTCATGGGTGCAAGTCCGCGTATAGGTTTGGCTCAGGGAAATTTTGGGGAGTATGATTCCGAAGGCGTCCAAAGCGCAAGACATATTTCTTGAGTGAGTTACACTTTCTTGTGCCGACTTTCGGTCCTCATCTTCGGGATTACTATCCGCCTTACCTGGATTCACGTTTATACTCCCGTCTACTCACAGGTATTCCAAAGCAGCGTCGTTCAAATACGGTTTCAGTATTTATTAATATTAGAGGCGTGAAATACGTAGGGGTTGACTTGACCTCCCCCTACCAACTCTTCCAGGGAAGTTCCCGATTATTATATCTTATGCTGTCATCTCTTCCAAGAAAAATGACCTTACTGGTTTAGAAGCACTCAAAACTCGTTTTCGAAAATAAATGTCAAATGGCACCAAAGATAGCACCGATTACGTGAGATATTGGTGTTAAATAGCATTGACACCCCGGTCGAAGAAGCTATAGCTCTAGCCTGGCGGACTCATGAGTCGGCTAACTCAGACTCAGATCGATCCCCGAGTCTGAGTATGAATGAGTCCGGGTGAGTAATGCTTACGTGAGTTTGAGCCTGAGTGAGTTCGGTTGAAGAACGATTTTTTTTTAGTGGGAGTTCGAGCGAGTCGAGCTCAGAAAGATTGTCGTGAGTATTAGTCTGAGTGAGTCTGAGTGAGCACAGCAAGTTTTGCCGACCTATGCGTGTGATTGGTCTTTCTGGATGTGCACAGAACCTTCGATAACGTAAATGATCTTGAAGAAATATGTGACACATACGCTTCCATTGACAAAGCTATGCACTCTCAATCAAATTCCGCTTAATTGCTAGCTACATCCGGAAAACCTAAGGGAGCTGTCCGCTTTCCGGACAATATCTGGCACCTTAAGTGCGACCTGAATAAAAATGTAGGGCTCATATTTAACACAATGTAGAAATACTTATCTTGAAACCACATGTTCACATGCCTCGGCCCTCACTTCATTGAGAAACATTAGGGTATATACTCAGGAACAGCTATCAAAATCTGTGCTCAAAGTATGCTGCACCTACCGAAAAACGATATATAGAGTACAATAAACACGCCTTCTGAGTGTGGTTTCGCATATATCAGTGAATTTAGACAGGTATACATACATCTTATAATACTGTTGCGTATATCGGCAGCCTATTATAGCCCTATTTTTCCTTCGTAGCTAATATACATGTAGCTTGTTTGCTGCACTATCCGGCGCTATATAACACGTTTGGGACTTGCGAGTCTAGCATCAACAATTAGCTTAACATAGCCGACCAAAAACTGAGGCGCCTCGAATTTACATGAAGAGCAGTGATCGTGAGTTCTGCGGCGTTCTTTTGTTGACCCCTAAAAAGCTTCAATGCGGTCGCTTACGGCTCATATAAGTTTGTATTTGGTATTTCATTGACGCCTAAGTGAGTTTGAAGAACCTGCCTTATTCTTCGGTCAACACTATACATGACTGCAATGAAAGAAGCAAGTTTCGTTTTTCGAACTTTCTGAGCAGGACATGCAAAACAACTAGAGTGTGTTGCAGATTCAAAACACAAGTTGGTGACTTTTGCATCGGGCGTACGCCATGTCTCACACTCCACCTCTGTGCTCATATCAATGCACAAACGTTGAAACCACATGCACGTTTATTAAACGCTGAAAAGCAGTGATACTATCGCCCTGACGAAAAGTACATAACCTCAACTTAACTCCAGCCAACCCGTATAACAATTACACGTTTCACTTGCATGACATTCAAATACTACTTGTCATGGAACAAACTGTTACGTAATAGAGATAGAAATTGTGAGCGTACACCGAGTACAACTGCTGAAATAAAAAATCGACAAGTTGTCTAATCTTATTTTACTACGCCCCTGAGCAGTTGCTAAAAGTCTGAAAATCGCATGAATTTGTGCAGAAAAATGTGTATCTATAGCATCACTTTAACATGTCACAGTATATTCGAGGATATATTAAACGTACGCACCCATATTTCTTCAATTTCAAAACTGTCTCTTATATAGGTGCCCTCTCTAATCGAAATAGACTTGTCTCCGAATACGACGAAGTCGAATATGAACTTGTCCAAAAGTTCAAAGGGTGAAACGAACGCGCAACCAGCCTTGCTGGTTTAATCTTATTTAGGAAAAGAATACTTGGGAAATGTGGCCAGGGATAAGTAATAAGTGTATATACCTGTAGATGATACTCATATATATATATATATATTCAACTGCTCTTTTGTATGAACATGTTGACGTGTATACGGCTATTTGTTTCCTCGCATGAGGACATGCCTTCTGACACGCATGCATGACCTGAACTATATGTGTCGGGGTACAATGTGTTCGTATATTATATATATATATATATATATATATATATATATATATATATATATATATATATATATATATATATATATATATATATATATATATATATATATATATATATTGTGCAAAAGCAAGCTTGCCGAGTCAAATAACAGAGCAGATGTTTTTAGATAGGCCCCTTGATAAGACGAGTCCGCCAGAGGTGGTGTCACTAGAACAACATCTAAATGTATAATCGGCAGCCACAGTCTAGGCATTCACTTGAATAATTTCGTGTAGATGACGAGGTGTGAATTGATAAGATGGAGTCCCCAGTACGATAACGTTCTCATACTCTGTTTGCTCTCATTTGACACACTCGAGTGGATCATAATATTAGCATATCACGCGTGAACGCACACATGCACATACACGTTGCTGGAGATTTTCCGTCTCGGTCTACGTATTCATGCATCTATATCGCGCTTGTGCGCCTCCGAGCGCTTAGTATATCAGCTTGATAAAAAACATGTCAAGCAGTCCCTTCATGTTCTACCTTCGTCTTCGAGAATGCAGCCGATTATGCATTTACTTGAATGTTGGGGGTATACAGCTTGCCGACTTTTTGCATCTGATCAAAACCATCTATCATGTCGGCTATGAACTTCATGACAGGTATACCTTACACGCAACATCTATAGGTCTACCAGTGTAAAGCTCCGTGATATACAAACATGTCAGTGCGGAGAACACACTGGTAACTGTTTCACACTTAACCATGTTTTGATGAGTGCAGTTCTTTTTTTTTATTTTGATGTGAT